AGTGTGGAAGAAACAGAGGGTTGAGTAAAATAAAACGAAGTCATTTCAAGATGGCGGGGTAGGAATTGAAAGGAGGAAGTGTAACATAAATGGGGGGCGGTGCGGAGGGGAGAAAACGAAAGGAAGGAGAGAAGCTAACTGAAGAATTGGGTTATAGTTAAAGGTTCTGTTTACCCTGCAAGAAATTAAATCAGTAGCGGAGACGATTAGCTATCCTCAGAGAGACCAACTACACACACACACACACACACACACACATTGATACAGTAGGCAAGACGGCTCAGACACGTAGTCATTAGCAGAAATTTAATTTGAAATGCTCAGTATAGATATTAAAAGAAAATGAACCTGTAGAGAGAGCTAATCGTCGGTGTCTTCAAAGGACATGGCATTAAAAAAAAAGTTGCGAATATCGGGAAGTGTGAACGTGAATAATGTCAAAAAAGAAGTCACAATCCTGGCGTGTAAACCACATTTAATTGTTGTTGTTTTTTTTCTTTGTAACGCCATGTCCATTTAGAAAGTAGGCGATCATGGCCCTCCACAGATTCTTTTTCTTTATTATCTGTGAATTACTATGACTTCTTGGTCCCTTCAGGATGGAAGCGATCATGGCTCTCCACAGATTCCTTTTCTTTATTATCTGTGAATTTCTATGATTTCTGGGGCCCTTCAGGATGGAAGCGATCATGGCTCTCCACAGATTCCCTTTCTTTATTATCTGTGAATTACTATGACTTCTTGGTCTCTTCAGGATGGAAGCGATCATGGCTCTCCACAGATTCCTTTTCTTTATTATCTGTGAATTAGCATGACTTCTTGGTCAATTTAGGACATAGGCGATCATGCCTCTCCATAGATTCCTCTTGAAGAAGAAAGGGTGAGATAAAGAAGAAAGAAAGAGAAAAAAGAGGAACAAAAGAGCAGAAAGTGAAATCTGCAAGCTGAGTTCAAATCCTGGCCTAATCTATTGCATTCACTTTAGCATTAATGTCCTTGCAACAGGCATGAATCCAGCTCTTCTTCTCCCCAGTTATGGGTTAAATATAGAATGTCAAAGATAGACAGCAATGTATATCCTGCACAGGATGATACTACCCTTTGATCTTGGTATATAAACTGATTTAATTCACTTTGATCGGGATTTATAGCTACATATACTGCTAGCGTAGTGATAACTCAGCATTCTTGGGAGGGGGGCTCTTTCTAGACTGAAGACAATGGCTAAGGTGGAGGATTCCATCTGTTGGGATCAACAGCAACATGTTCATGAGTAATGTAAGCCTTCAAGTTGGAGAAAATTGTCTGTGGTTTGACCTAGAGAAGTGTGGGCTCCGCCAGGTCTATTTTGTCCAAGGAAAACATTAATTTACCTTTGCTCACAGGTGAAATTCTTACAATCTGATTGTATCAAACGGGAAAACAAATGAACTAAGCAACAACAATGATGAGGATGAGGATGAAAAAGAGATGAAGATTGAGGATGAAAGTGATGATGTAGAAGAAGAAAGATGTGCTGTTAGTTATCAGCACAGAAAATGAAATCTGCAAGCTGAGTTCAAACTCCTGCTTAGTCTGTTGCATTCACTTTCACATTAATGCCCTTACAAAAGGCAGGAATTTATCTCTCCCCAGTTACAGGTTAAATAAGAGTAGATTGACCTTGCCTGGCAGCCAGTTTAAGAGAAAGACTAGTCTGAGCTCTAAACCATGGAGAAGGCAATAGGAAATGAACTCACTCGATTTTCCAAGAAGTCACAGATAATAAAGAAAAGGAAGCTGTAGAGAACCATGATCCCTTACATACAAAGGGAACATGTTTTTAAGAAAAGAACCCAAAAAATGTAAAATTATTTAAAATATATACACATACGTATAGTATTTGTACACATTTTTCATTCATATCATATACCTCATTCAGTAAACTCCTATTATTAATACATACACATACACACACACACACACACACACACACATATATATATAATTCTCTGAACTTGAAACAGTGGCATTGGATAGATAGATGTGGAGAAGTAGATGTCAAAATTATATCAATATCTACAAAAGAGCTCGTATTGACTGGCTAGGAGAAGCAAGAGACAGGTTTAAGGTGTCATCAGCCTCACTAGCAATGACATTTAGGAATCCTCACACTTACACAAATTTTTTGAAATGTCTGCAAATCACTGGTGGGACTTAAATGCGACACTAGGTATGAACACCTGAACTGAACAGATTGGACATTTGTTCTTCGAACTCAACAGGAGCATCCATGTTATGTGTGTATGTATGTATGTAAGTATATATATGTATGTATGTATGTATGTATTTAGTTGGATTGATATGAGTTTGTGACCCTAGGTTTCATGCTATTTGCGATGTCTGACGATTGCAAATAGCATGAAACCCAGGGTCACAACTCACACTAATCCAACTAAATATGTTAACTCTGCCACTGATATCGAGCACTTTCCAATAAGTACTGCACATATATAATATATAAATAATATATTGCATATATATATATATATATATATATATATGCATATATGTTTTTTGTTTTTTTAGCAAAGAATATTATTAATGGCTTGAGATTTGCTTGTTAATTTTAATATTATTATTATATTATTATTATTATTATTATTATTATTATATTATAATGTTAAAAAAATATATTATTATGAGTGCTGAGACCTTCACAAACAGATAAAGAAACATTGTGAACTATTTAAATATTGACAGCTATGGATAGATAGAAATATGCTATACATCAATAGATAGAAACAGTCTATAGAGAGAAACAAGCTATAGATAGATAGATAGATAGATAGATATGAACAGACCGAGATAGATAGATAGATAGATAGATAGTCAACAGATAGAGATGAATATTACTAAAATTATCGATATGAACGGACCAAAATTGCCAAATCAATAGATTCATAACAAGATAGCTAGCAAGGTGGAATATGACAAGCATTACTCAATAGATTTATAGCGCATATTATTATTATTATTATTATTAGATAATTAGAAGGTAGCTCGGCAGATGCTGATGACAGTTTCTCATCAGGACTTATTTAAAACTATTTTCACATCTGCATATGCCTATTGATAGCTATAAGGACCACACATTGTATTTGTATTAATTGATTGAATTATTTCATCAATTAGAAATAGGATTGTAAAGTTCTTAGATATAGACAGACAAATATAGAATGTTAGCTGATTGATTCATGACTACAGTTTTGCATGTTGACTATATATATATATATATATATATATATAGACAGAGAGAGAGGCGCACACACACATATATATACATATATATATGCACATACACACACACATACATACATACACACACAAACACGCACATATACATTTAATGCAGCAATTTCTTTTACGTTTCCACTTTGTCATAGTTTTCTTTTCCTTAAAATTATTCTTGATATGTAAAAATTTATATATCATTTTCCCAGTATGACAGTTTGAAAAATGTCAATGATAAACAAAAATAGATCTCTGGTTTGGATAATAGACACACACACGCACACACACATATATATATATAAATATATAGGTCATGTGTATGTTTTAAAATATCAGTTAATATATGTGTATACACACACACACACACACACACACAATATAGACATAAGTGAACATATATGTATGCGCATGTGTGTGTGTGTATATATATATATATATATATATATAAATTTTTGTATTTAGCATTTTTAGTATAGTGTATATAAATACATGCACACACATATGATCAAAGGTTTGCAGATTTTCTTTTTTTCTATCACATTTTCTATAAATGTGTAGCAATAGAAGACTTGTGTGTATGTATTTTTGTTCATGTCTGTTTATATATATATATATATATATAAAGGTGTTTCCTCTATCTGTCTTTTTATGCCATCCATGTCTCTCCATGCAGTCCAACCCACTCACTAGCTCAGTGCATGTATCTTTGTGAGTGTTGGAGAATAAATCTATATATATATATATAAGCGAGTCACTGCATTTGCCTCTTTTATGTCACATTAATGGAATCCCTGAATGTCAGTAATTAGTACCAGTCATCATACAGAGATGCTTCAAGGCCTTCTTTCCCCTCCCCCTCCTGTTGTAGCCCACAAATACCCCTTTGCCATTTATATATATATATATATATATATATATATTCAACACTGCTATATCTTTTACTTTCACTTTCACTTTCTTCGTCTCTCTTTGAGGCACAGAATACAAATATCAAAGCCAGCAGGTTGATTCATTTCTCTCTCCAACCACCTACCAGCACCTCCCCACCCACACACAAGTACTACTGGTTCTTATATCAACACCCTTCTCCTTTTCTTTCCTCTATATCAACCTCGCCCATACCAGTTGTTTCTCTGCCTCTGGGCTAAGGCCAATTGAAAATAAATAAATAAATAAGACATCTTCACTGCTGTCCATTTCAGGCCTGTATCAGCAAAGAACTCTGGAAACGTTTAGCAGACAGATTTCTCACTGCTGATTCAGGATTCTGTGAGAGCTAATTTTAACATTTTTCCTTGTGTGTGTGTCTGTGTGTGTCTAAGGGAAAGAGAAGGGGGTATCAATTGAGGGGAGCCATTTGTATTTTATTTTACGTTTGGTCTGTATATCTTTGTGTTCTTTATACTGTCTTCTTCAACCCCCACCTCACTATTTATCTTCCTTCTCCCCTATGATGATCATCAACCTTGTTGGGTTCCTTATCTTTCTCTGTTTTTCTTCTTCTTCTTCATCTTGTCTTTCACTCACTTTCTCTCAGCCCCCACCTCCTCCCCAACCAAATTTGCTTTATCCTTGAAAATGTATTTTTACCCAACTGTTGGAAATACAGAAGTTTTGGTTGTTTTATTTATTTATTTATTTATTTTTTTTTTTTTTTGTTTTGGTTGCCCCCTTTTTTTTCATCCCCTTCATTGACCTGGCAAGCTGAGATTTTCCTTGCTGATTACATGTCTGTCTGTATGTCTGTCTCATTCTCTCTTTGTCTGAAACTTTCAGTTTATCTATCTGTCTCACTCTCTGTATGTCTGATACTTTCAGTCTGTCTGACTGTCTCATTCTCTGTCCATCTAACACATTCAGTCTGTCTGTCTGACTGTCTCATTCTCTGTCCATCTAACACATTCAGTCTGTCTGTCTGACTGTCTCACTCTGTCTGATTGTCTCATTCACTGTCCGTCTAACACATTCAGTCTGTCTGTCTGACTGTCTCACTCTGTCTGACTGTCTCACTCTGTCTGTCTCACTCTGTCTGTCTAACACATTCAGTCTGTCTGTCTGACTGTCTCACTCTGTCTGACTGTCTCATTCTCTGCCTATCTAACACATTCAGTCTGTCTGTCTGACTGTCTCACTCTGTCTGACTGTCTCACTCTGTCTGATTGTCTCATTCTCTGCCTGTCTAACACATTCAGTCTGTCTGTCTGACTGTCTCACTCTGTCTGACTGTCTCACTCTGTCTGTCTCACTCTGTCTGATTGTCTCATTCTCTGTCCATCTAACACATTCAGTCTGTCTGTCTGACTGTCTCACTCTGTCTGACTGTCTCACTCTGTCTGATTGTCTCATTCACTGTCCGTCTAACACATTCAGTCTGTCTGTCTGACTGTCTCACTCTGTCTGATTGTCTCATTCACTGTCCGTCTAACACATTCAGTCAATCTGTCTGACACTTTCACTTTGCTTCCCTCTCTATCGGACACTTTCAGTCTGTGTCTAACATTTTCCCTTCCTCCCTCTCTCTCTGATTTGCTATCCATGTCTTGGACATACAATTATCCAATAATCCCAAACTGTCCAGCATTTACTGCCATATAAGAGAACTGATATTACATAATAGTTGAACACTCCTTTAGTTCTTTCTGCATTGCCATTTAAGTAGCACTACAAAGAAGGTTTTCGGTAACTACTAAATTCCTGTTCGATATAAAACAGCATTTCATTCTTGACGCAATTATTTATAGAAGAGAACAGAATCAAAATCAATATTAATTGTCTACCAGAACCGCAGGGCAAACACAAATTATTAATTTCTGTTAGAAAATAAAAGGGTGGCATAAATTGTGACGCATTCCCCCATTTTGTAAGCATTATGAACATCGTCTCATGTCTAATGGATGTCAGTTATCAGTTATCTCCTGTTAATTTCCCTCTTAAAGTTCTCCACCGCCTTAACCAGATATTGAACTCACACTCTTTGGGTCCTGTCACTAGATCTAACTAACACCTTTATCCACTGTGCCATGGCATGTGGAACTAGAACAATCTATCCCAGTGAGTGAAATGAAGGGTTCAGTTTGACATTCCAACCACCTGAAGAAGGCCGGAGCGTACAACGGCCAAAACGTTGTGATAAACATGGTGACAAAGATGAGGACAATAGTCCGAATAATGTAAATAGTGTACATAATACCTCATCTCAGAAATATAGACAGATACAGAAAGTGAAATCTGAAATCTGGTTTCAAATCCTGGCCTTGTTGCATTCACTTTAATAATGTCCTTATATGACTGGGTCCTTTCTCAACAAAAATAAAAATTTCCTTTTCACTGAAAATTGTTAAATGTGTGTCCAAAAATTTGAATTTTTAACATTTTTCTCATAATGCTTCTAGTTTGCCTCATGTCATAATATTATACAATAAATATTATTACTATTATTTTGTCTTTTCAATTTCTCTCACCAGCTGACTACACCTAAATTGCGTTCTTTTTGGACAGTCCATTCCCAGTAACCATTACACATGATGTCACATTAGACTATTTCAAATTTCCAACTTCCCAATAAATACTAGAATGTAGACAAAGGAATTCTAAGCACCCCCCATCGACACCACATTGGTTCTTGATAATGATTGCAATCAACAATAACAAAATATAAACTTCAGGCAGTTTATCCACAACTTCAAACACAATACTCGGCAACTTATACAAAAATTGGAAATGATGTATAAACAGAAAATATATTAAATAATTGTTAGACTCAATCCATTTCATAATATGTTGTCAATATTTACTTTAAGATACATTTCATGAGCAGATATGATCATTTGGGGAAGATTGTTGAAGATTTTTTGTTTATAAACAGTAATTTGTACTTTGCTAACCAGACGCTTCTCTGTAGCTGAGTGGTATAGCATGTCAGATCAACTGACAGCTCCATATAAAACACAGGTTTGATTCCTGTCAGAGAAGACATTTTTCTACAAAATTTTTCAAACATTCAGGCCAGTAAATGTAATTAATACTGTTTATTTAAAAACAGCATTTATTTAAATAAACTGTATCTATTAAAATAACTTATAAACAAAAAATATATTTTATATATATATATATATATATATATATAACAGTATATTTATATTTATTTTTCAACCACCAGCCTGAATATTTGAGAGATCTTATTAGAGAAAAATATGAAGTCTCTGGAGAGTACATATTTTTGTCTAATAAGATTTCTCAAATATTTATCCCAGTAGATGAAAATAAATAAATATAATTTGTAATAAATAAATTGAGTGTCTACTCAAATACAAGTATCCAATTAATCAATCAATATATATATGTGTGTGTGTATGTGTGTGTGGATGATTAACTTCTGACAATTGAAACTGTACACCCAACAAACTTCCGTGTATTTGCCACATGGAGGAAATGTGCAGATAAGAACCTGACGAGGCAAAGAATATCAGACAATCTCCCCTTCATCTGCCATCTTTTGTACTATTTTTACTTACATTTTTTTCTTATGTTTTAACCTTCCCTACTGGACTGGGTTGCTGATTAATGAACAGTGTGTGGGGGTAGATAAGCATGATAAGCCAGGGCAGGGTCAGCTGCTAGCATGGTCACCACAGCAACAAAGGTTTGGTGTTGTTTATATTTGCGAATTCTCTCCTCCTCCATCACCATCACCACCACCTGAAGATGACGTCGAAGCTACAGTTGGTGTTGAAAGGCAGGTAGAAACTGAGATTGGGTGGATGATTAAAAGTAATTAAAACACTCCTAGTAGCCTCCCTTTATATGCACTCTTTGGTATCTTTTCTCTGCTTCTTTCATGCACATGTCACTTTTGGATGTGAGTGATCATGGCTCTCCACAACTTCCTATCCTTCATCACTCTAAGCAATATTTGTCCCTTTACTATCTCTTGTCTGCCATCCATTTAATCAACCTCATTAGGTAGGTTACCCAAAGTTTCCCTTTACCCCATCATTTTTTTTAAAGGCAATAAAGCCACTAGGATGCAAGAGGTTACTAAGTGTTAGAAAATATGATAAAAAAAAACTATTAAGGAGAGAGGACAATAAAAAACAAGAATTAAGAAGACAGAAGATAACATTTAGCATTGCATTTAAATTTTTGAAAATCAAATTTAACTGGGAAGCAAGAAGCCAGAAAAGAATTCCACAAGCAAGAAGTGTGAGAAAAGAAACTGTTAGGATAGAACTTCCAGCTACCTCTAGCCATTTCAAATGTAAAATAATGAAAGCTTGCCGCCAATCTAATACTGCACCTAAATTCATAAAGTCTATGTATCATAGTGAAGAGCTCATCTGAACAATTATCATGAAAATATTTATAGAAAAGGCACCAGGAAGCTACATTATGGTGGTGGGAAAGGAACATAAGCCGAGATGCCAGGTCAGGACCAATAACATTACAGATTCTTCTTAGGATTTTAGAATTTTAGCATCAAAGTAAATGTTGCAACAATATTCAAAGCAAGAACGAATGGTAGACGAATATGTAAGATAGATCCTGCCAAGACAAATTGTATAGCATGACATAGTGAACCAACTTTCTTAGCTGCAGACTTAACAATTGATTTAATATACTCTTTCCACTTCATGTTAGCTGAAAATATAATTCTGAGAATGCACAATGAGTCACTCTTTTGGAGGTTAGCATCAGCCATGTTGATGGAAGGTAAAATGGGTTCTCTCAGACGATTAAAAGAGAGCAGTTTCAATAAGTCCTTCGAGTGTCAAATTCTTTCTGAGTGTTCCAAAGATTTTCAGTTGTCTCTTTCTGATTCTAAGAATGTCTCCCTTTTTTTCTCATTTTCATTAAAATTTCCTCATTGTTTATAGTTGTGAATTCTCTTCTCCTCCATCACCACTACCAACTATTCTATAAAGTAGTGGCTTTTGGGAAGAAACTGTCCAAATGGAACATCTTTATTACCAATAGAATATGAAGGAAATGAGGATGGTTTGCCTCTGTGAATGTGACATGTCAGGACTTAGTTTTATGGGAAAGATAATGGAGTGGTTTCCTGTTGTCTTCTCCACAGTTTGTCATCTCTTGTCCTTTTGAATACTGTTCTTTCTACTCTACAATGTTTTCTCAGTTTATTTCATTTTCCATAACCCTTCGCTTCTTAATGGCTTGGGGTGAAGGGATTAAAAAAATAATCTCTAATGTGACTCACATTTCAGACATATGCGCAATTTTTCATTTGTTAACCCTGAAATCAACACTCAATATTTTGCTTCGTATATGTGCACACAATTCTGTGTCTAATACATAAAAAAATCCGCATTAGTTCAAACATATGTCTTAAAACATATATTTGTCGTGTGATATATCACAAATCTTTTTGGTCGCTGGTTAAATAAACAATTTAGTCTGATCCAATTTCATTAATTCAAGGAGTTCTGTTTATCTTTCTGGCAGTAATTTGTTCTTTCTAGATATTTTTTTTTTTTTTTAGATATACTTTAGTTGGCTCTTTTTTATACTTATTTATCACATTAGTGATTTAGTGATACCAAATTGGGAAAAATATTTCACAAACATCTTGATGCCATTTTTACTTTTTGACTAGTGTAAACTAAACTGATGTCTCCCTTTTTGACTATAGTACAAACTGGACTTATGTCTCCCTTTTCGATGACTATAGTACAAACTGGACTTATGTCTCCCTTTTCGATGACTATAGTACAAACTGGACTTATGTCTCCCTTTTTGACTCTGGCGCAAACTGGACATATGTCTCCCTTTTTGACTCTTGTGCAAACTGGACATATGTCTCCCTTTTTGACTCTGGTGCAAACTGGACTTATGTCTCCCTTTTTGACTCTTGTGCAAACTGGACATATGTCTCCCTTTTGGACTCTGGTGCAAACTGGACTTATGTCTCCCTTTTGGACTCTGGTGCAAACTGGACTTATGTCTCCCTTTTGGACTCTTGTGCAAACTGGACATATGTCTCCCTTTTGGACTCTTGTGCAAACTGGACATATGTCTCCCTTTTTTACTCTTGTGCAAACTGGACTTATGTCTCCCTTTTTGACTCTTGTGCAAACTGGACATATGTCTCCCTTTTTGACTCTGGTGCAAACTGGACTTATGTCTCCCTTTTTGACTCTTGTGCAAACTGGACATATGTCTCCCTTTTTGACTCTGGTGCAAACTGGACTTATGTCTCCCTTTTTGACTCTGGTGCAAACTGGACATATGTCTCCCTTTTGACTCTGGTGCAAACTGGACTTATGTCTCCCTTTTTGACTCTTGTAAAACTGGACATATGTCTCCCTTTTTTTTTCTGGTGCAAACTGGACATATGTCTCCTTTTTTTGACTCTGGTGCAAACTGGACATATGTCTCCTTTTTGACTCTTGTGCAAACTGGACATATGTCTCCCTTTTGGACTCTGGTGCAAACTGGACTTATGTCTCCCTTTTGGACTCTGGTGCAAACTGGACATATGTCTCCCTTTTGGACTCTGGTGCAAACTGGACTTATGTCTCCCTTTTGGACTCTGGTCCAAACTGGACATATGTCTCCCTTTTGGACTCTGGTGCAAACTGGACTTATGTCTCCCTTTTTGACTCTTGTGCAAACTGGACATATGTCTCCCTTTTGGACTCTGGTGCAAACTGGACTTATGTCTCACTGAACTGGACCTATGAGTCTCTTTTTATTCTACTGTAAACCAAACTGATGTCTACTTTTTAGATTTTAGTGTAAACCAGACCGATGTCTTCCATTTTGACTCTTATACAAAATGGGCCTATATTTTTTTTTTCTTTTTTTTTTTTTGCTCTAGTGTAAACTGGATTGTTGTTAACTTTTTGATTCACCATGAAAAATGATATAGACGTTTTATTTCAAGTGCACAATAACTTTGTAGGGCAGAAGAAAGAATTGGGAAAGTCAGGATAAAATCTGTTTTAGGTTTAGATTTTCATCTCCTATGAACGGAAGACTGGGCTGATTTCTGGGAGGAGGGTACTGCAATACCCCCAGGCCAACCTGTGACAAAGGCACAGTAAGCACCTATCGCTTCACTTTGTTCCAAAAAATCACGTCCAGTTTTTCAATATTAAACTGCCTTTTTGATTTTTTTTTACAATGATGTTCATCCTTTACAAGGCCCAAGAGCCACTCAAGGTAGATGGCTACGAAGTAAGAGACACAGTTTATGGAAATATGAGGGGGAAGATAATAGTTAACCCTAGATTTAAACAGGTTAGGATTGTAGTAATCAGGGAAGCATCCTCTTGGGAGTTGGTTCCACAAAACAAACCTTTTTTTCTCCTTTAGTTTGCTATTATTTTAACTACCTTCACTTTTTTGGCAACATTTATTGTTTTAAAATTTCTGGAATGAGGAGCTATCTTTATTTTTTTTACAGTGAAATTCACCCTGTACAAGGCCCAAGAGACACTCAAAATAGAGGTTTACAAAGTAAGAGACAGTTTATAGAAATATTATGGGAATATAATGATTAAATCTACACTTGAACAGGTTAAGATTGTAGTGATCAGGGAAGCATCCTCTTGGGAGTCAATTTCACAAAACAGAGTTAGAAGCTGATTACATCTTATCAATGGAGCACAAAAGGAATGAAGGTGGTTTGCTATAATGTATTTGGAATAGAGGGTCTTGCTACCTACCTTTTTGACTTTTGTGTAAAACCAGATTGACCTCAGTCTGTCTATATATTAATCTGTTATTATCCTATAAAATTTATGTTCCCTATAAAATGACCCAATAAGTTTTGTTGTGTCATGAAATTAACCAGCCTCACCTAAAGCATTTCTTTCCCATTCATTTCAGAGACATTTCATTCCCATTCATTTCTGACGCATTTCTTTCCCATTCAATTTTTTCCAATGTTGCACTTCATTAGAAACTTATTTCCTGTGAAATAACAAAAGATTTTCTTTTTGTTTTCAGCAAGTGAAGCTGAAAGTCCTGGTAATATTGCAATGTACATTGGCGTCTGCGTTGCATTTGCTGTGTTTATCACAGTTGTTGTCATCCTCGTGCTTATTATACGGCGTCGGAACATGCAAAACCAGGGAGTCTTTGATATGGAACCAGGATCTG